CCCCAAAACCCCAAAACCCCAAAACCCCAAAACCCCATTTTACCTTTGAAATCTTGAATTAATAAAATTAAAACTGAAGTATGAACTTGGAAACCCAAGGCATACCTTTCTTGATACTCTCTATTGATACAGGTACGTTATACTCAGAAATTTCAGTTTGGACTCTGAAAGGATTCTAGAGGGATTTCTAATGAATTTTAGGTGTTTCAGATCAGAATTCTAAGCAAAATCTGTACCTTTATGCAGGAGATGATGTGACTGATAAGGCACATGAGTTTTGAGAAACGTATAATTTATCCAAAGAAGCTGTCCCTATTATAGTGAATCATGTAAAATCTGTAGTTGGGCAGTATCAGAAGAAGATTGATCAGACTAAGTCTACTAATAAAGGACAGCAAAGTTCTATGGCACAAGTTGATGAATCGACAAATTCTCAAGCGCAATCTAAAGGTATTATTATTGCCTCTAAAGCATAGGTAAAAAGCCAGGATCTTATTATAAGAATTTAAACTCAAGTCCTGGAACACCATCTCCTAACTCTTGATTTAATTCAAGTGATTTAAAGCCGTCCAGAATGCCTACTATTAAGGAAGATTTGTGAGAGAGCCAGCAAAATTCTACTGCTAAAAAGTCCAAGCCAAAGGAAAGCTCTAAAAATATTAGCAACGTTTGGTCTCCTAAACTCGGTAGCTCCTCAAAATGAGCCTCAATGTCTCAGATAACTTCTATTAAAGACCATAATTCTAGCAGAAAAACTTCAAAACATTCAAACAAAAAGAGTTTTATCACAAAAATTTATAAGAAAACTTCAAAATTTATGTCTAATAAATCTCCGAAAAGGCTCGATCGTTCAAGAAGTGGGAAATTACCATCTAAAAAGAACACAAAACATCTCAAAAGTGAGTATAATGTCTCAAATATAGCATTTAAGAAGAGTTTTAAGACAATTCAAACTTCCCAGCCTCAGAAGCCTAAAACAAAGCAGAGGTTTCAGAGGCCAAAGAAGTTAGTCCCACTAGCTACATTGAGGAATGTGGTGCCTCAGAATGATATTACGAGCACTTCGAAGGTATCATGAGAGAGATCAGATGAGAAGAAAACCCGCCCCCTAAAGAAGCTTAGAACTAAATCTATCAATAGATATAAGAAGAGGAATAATAGTGTTACTTCAATTTTTAAATCAACAATCAGCCCTCCTACAAAATTCCTAGTTGAGGAAAAGACTTATAGAAGTCTTGAGAGGGACTTTACCGATCAAAATCTAAGTCGCACCAGGTCTCATGTGGGCAAGCTTAACTATCATAGTAGTGCTAGCCGAGAGAGGGTCAAAAAGAGGGCTTCCAAAGGACATATGCCCAAAAATCTGAAGGTTATTGGCACCAGGAAATGAACTTTTAAACCGAAGATGAGTAAACTCAAAAGAAAGATAATCAACTCAGCCAGAGAAGACTCCCGCTCCTCTAAGAAATCAGAGAGTGAGTCTAGTGCAAGCAGGAAAATATTTTCCAAATTTAAGGAATCCTCTAAAGAGCGGGACAAACTGAAGCTTATGACGAAGAGGATTCTCAAAAACTCTCCTGGAATCAGGACAGATATGTGATCTAGTAAGACTACTAAATCAAAGGGTTATATTAGAAAAAGTTTGCTGATGTCAAAGAAAGCACATCAGAGCAGTAAAGAAAGGCGTAAGCAGAAGTATGGTATAGCAAAGCCTTACTATAAACCTTCAAATTTCAGAAAGAAGCTGTCTCCAGCAAGGTCAAGTTCAAAATCTCATAGTAAAAGTAGAACAAACTCTGTTTCTAAAGAATCTATTGCCCATCTCAAAAGCATTGATAACGAATGAAAGAGAATTTATGAGAAGAGTAAAGCCAGGCTAAATAACCCCTTCAGGAAGGATATCTCCATTCTTCCTCATCAAGGATCCAAGCCTAGTAAGATCATGGAGAAAATTAGAGCAAAACGTATGAAAGAACTCTTAGAGCTCCTTAATGGAGACAAGGATGACCATATCTCAACTGAGAATATAATATCCTCTTCTATAATGGATAGAGAAGATAAAAACCAGGGACTAGATTATCAGCAATTTTATCAGAAACTAACTGATTTCAGTAAATCTCTCACTGCTTCCGAAAGAGATGTTTTATTTAGTAAAATCAGATCTATGAGCTAGCAAATTTTAACTAAATTTTGATATAAATTTTCAATCTGAATGGCCTGAAGTGGGGTTTTGGGGTTTTGGGGTTTTGGGG